TTTTTTTTTATTGCAGCTAGCTTGGTATGTTTTTTTCCATCCTTCAACTTTTAGTCTGTTTTTTGTCTTTTGTGAAAGGTATGTCTCTTGCAGGCAGCATATTGAAGCGTCTTGTTTTCTTATCCATTCTGCCACTCTGTCTCTTCACTGGTGCATTTAATCCGTTGACATTCAGCATAATTATAGATAAGTGTGAATTAATTGCTGTCATTATGTTCATTCTTTTGTTCTGCATGCCTTCTTGTGCTGTGTTCATGTTTTTTGTGCTAACTTTTGTCAGTGTCTTCTTAGTTTTAATGTTTCCTTGTTATGCTTGGGACTTCATTTTCATGGTTAAGCTGTGAAGTATTAATTTTCTTTGGAGTTACCCTATAGCCTATAAAGTTTTCCTTGCATTTAAGACTGTCTACAGCCTCGGAAACTGTGTACAGGGTCACTATGAGTTGGAACTGATTCCATGGTATTTAACAATAACAACAACAACAACAATTGTATCCTGCAATCTACCTGACTCCTCACCACCTGGATCTCTGTTCCTATATTTTTCCGTTCTTTGACACTGTTAATATTTTGATCTTTGATTGGCCTCACAGGTCCTCTGAATTTGTTGTTGTAACTTTGTTCTGTTCTGACCTCTGCTGTCTGTCAAATGAGTTCCGGGTGGTGTTGCCACATCTGTCAACCTATGGTTGTTGTCTGTTCTTGCTGGTTTTCATTCCAAAGAACTCCCTTTAGGATGTTTTGAAGCGCTGGGTTGGCTTTGACAAAATCCCTTAGCTTTTGTTTATCCTGGGATGTTTCCATTGCACCATCGTATTTGACTGACAGTTTTGCTGGATAGATGATTCTTGGTTAGCAGTTTTTTCTTTTAGGGTTTTTTATATATGTCTCCCCATTGCTTTCTTAAACGCCTGGTTTCTGCTGAGAAGTCAAGGCTTAATCTGATTTGCTTGTCTTTGTAGGTAACATTTCTCTTTTCCCTGGTTGCTTTTAAGGATTGTCTCCTTGTCTTTGATTTTGGAGAGCTTGATTATGATGTCTTGGTGACTTTCTTTTGGGGTTTATCCTTCCTGGGGTTCGTTCACATTTTTGAACGTTTATCTTCTCATTCTTTAAGATGTTAGGGAAATTTTCTTCCAGTAGTTCCTCAACTATCTCCTCTGTGGACTTCTGTGATTCTCCCTGTTCTTAAGTTATTCCTCTTCATGTTATTCAGCATGAATCTTAGATGCTCTTCATATTTTTTTTATCTTCTTTTTTCTGCTTGCTCTTCTATCTTAGCAGTGTTGAGAGACTTGTCTTCCAGCTGGTTGGTTCTGGCTTCCATCTCTTCAATTCTACTCCTTTGCCCTTTCAGTGTATTTCTGATATTTTCTTATTAATCATCTGGACCTGTTTTTGCAGGTTTTGAATTGTTTCCAATGCTATATCTATCTTGTTTGATTTCTCCTGTAGCACTTTCCTGACTTCTTCCCTATTTTCCACCACCCTTTTGTGGAGCATTTGAATTTGTCTCCATATCATTCTTCTGAATTCCTTCTCAGGCAGATCCAATGGCTCCTCTTCTTCTACTGGGGAATCTGTGTCTGCCTCCAGCTCATTTGTCTCAGTTACTCTTTTCTGTATTTGGTCATGTGCTGAGATCTTTTATTGTTTTTTTCTTGGACATTTTCAGTAGTTAGGTGGGTTTTTAATGCTTAAATGAATGTATGTTGCTGTGTTGTTAAGCTTACTGAGTGTTTCCTGTGAATGTGATCTGGAGATAGGCTTCCCTTTTCATGTGTACTGCCTAGCAGCTGGTATTGGCTCTTGTGCAGATGTAGGGATATTATGGGGTATGCTTGTAGCTTGTTTATATGAGCACAATTGCTGTCTCTTCTTGGGTAGGGTAGGGGGAGAAAGCTCTCACGCCTAGGAAAAGAGTGAGATCAAAAGGACCAAAACCAGAAACAGTATTTTAAAAGCAGAGACAAAAACCACTACTCAAAACCAGAAATAAAAACGAAGCCAACTGTTCAGTAGCCTTTGCTGTGCAGGTACGGATAAAGGGTCCCGCCCAAGTCAATTTTAGGGCTGGGTCCCAGAGTCTGATGTCATAAGCAGCAGCCTGCAGGACCAATGGGGTTCTCAGGAACCTCCTCCCTGTGCTGTGGGAAAACTGTGGGTGCAATGCTGGATCTTTTTGGGGGTGCGTTCCCACCTGACTGAAGGTGTCCGGGTTGGGCAGTGAGGGTGTGACCGGGAGGAGGAGGAAAGAAAAGGACAAATGAAAATCCGGTCACACCTCTTTTCCAGACGCGGCTCTGCGGTTTTTTAGTGCTGTGTCACTGTATCAGTTGGTTGGGGTCCCACCCTCCAATCTCAGTCCAGGCCGAGGGGCCTGTAGGGAACTGATCGAATCCATTCAGAAATTGCCGTGTTTTGCTTCCACAGTCAGGTTTCTCCACAGGTGGGTGCAAGAAACTGGCACCTTATACAAGATCCAAAACTCTGGCACTGTTCCCGGAAAGTGTCTTCTCTGTTTTTTCCACACCTCTGCCAAGGAGCCTTTCCTACCTATCTGTGCTTCGCCCACCCCTGTCCCACAATTCTTATTACTGAGAACAGCATTTTGTAACAGATGCATTCTAAAACCATTTGGATCCCTAGAATGTATCAAGTTCTGGATAACTGGGATTGAGAAATCTGGTCTGAGAGCAGCTGAGAGGATGCGATGTGACCCGAAAGACCAAGCTCATCTGCGTGAAAGGAGAGGCGGGTTCCCACGAGAGAGGTGTAGCGAGAACCACAGACAATTTAGCTTTTCAGCCTTGTCTGTTACAGGAGAGCAGGTATCTGGGTGGGGCCTCTGACTTGAGACCTAGTCTGTGACCACGGAGAACCAACTTCCACGGCTGCATGCAAGCGCCATCCAACACGTGCTTCACTTTACTGCTGTTTCTACTTTGTGATCAAGGTGTGAGTGAGGCCTTGATATTTTCCAAACACCAAAGACTTAACTTATGTAGTGACCTGACCAGTCAGTGGGTTTAACGGAATTTGATATTTTTTGGTATCAAGTAGATATGATACCAGTTACTGATATAAAAAAGTTCTGGGAGTTATGAAAAATCTCAGCTGTGTTCACACTGTGGGTCTAATTAAAATAAAACTGGCAGCTTACTCTCAGTAAAGGTCATATTTAGATAATTTTAATTTTTTCTTATTTTTAACTTAAAGTCATAAGCAAAGGATTTAGTTTTGCTTCTTGCACTTATCAGCACTGGATCTATTCAAATAGTTTATTTTAATGCAAAAGAGTAAAAACATGTAAATCTAAAACCAAAGATACTTAAAAAGTTAAAATGAAAATTATATAGAAATGATTTATTCGATTCCATGTAATCAATAGTAAGACCTAGAACTGAGACATTCACACTGTTCCAATGCCAGATGGACTGCTCCCATGTGTATGAAAGCAAGATGGGAGAGAGCTCAGGGCTTTTCCACCACCTTCCCCTGAAAGTGGGACAGATGGAACATGCTTATACTGGGTCTCAGAACCCGCTGCATTGGAGGCACATGCAACAGGAACACGGAGCCAGTTTCTCACACCAGAGACATGGCGAAAGTAGCTTCACAGTTAGCAGCCCCCAAGAACTTTAGTGTGAGGCCTGCGATAAAGCACTGCGCGGAACCTGCTGCTACTTGGCCAGCTTGCTTCAGCCCATGGTATTTATAGTCAGGTGTAGAAGAGCATAAGGAACTCTGTTTAAGTAAAAGATCTTAAAAAAAAGTTTGGAGATGTACAAACAAATTTCTGGGAGCTTTTGAAAATAAAAAGTATGTCAGTAAGAATGTTCATCTACTTAAAGTATCTATTAAAAAACAACAACAACCCAAACACTTTGTGTTTCAGTGTGGGGGTGGTGGTGGTGTTTGCAGATGACCAGTAATCCAATTCACACAGCACACAAGTGTATCCAATGTCATTGTGGACAAGTATGTGTCAATATGTGTCAAGTCTTTGCGATCTGGTCTGGGTGAAAATTAGGGAAAAGTATTTGACAATTTGACAGGAGGAAAATCTGCTTCCAATAAATCAAGTCCTACACATGAGAGACTAAGGGAAGTCCCGTGAACACATGAAAAGGTCAGCATGAGGTCGTTTCTCTTAGCCTCCCACCAGCCCCTCACAGCGCTCACATCTGTCATCTCTGATATGGTGCTGCCAGAAGTGGGCTTTGGGAGGAGGGGTGGCAGGCTGGTGTCTGGCACATGTAGGAGCTAACACGGGTCTGGGCAGACTGCCCAGAGTTAAAGAAATCAGCATGGAAAAGGTCACTTGTACACATACCACAAGGACCAGCAGTGCAGCACTTGTGAACGCTCCCACAATGCAGCAAATGTGGAAGGTCTGCCCGCAGACCTGTCAGGGTAAGTGAGGTGCACGTTCACCCTGGCCAGTGGACGGCTTCACAGGCCTTCCCTGGGCCTGCAGGGGTCATCTCTCCACAGCAGCACCCGTGGGTCCTGAGGGGCCCGCTTTCCTACCCCCACAAGGTTCTAGTGCTGCCCTGCACACCCACCTTGACCGTCGCACCGTCCTGTAGGCGCTGGGGAGGGCGTGCTTGCCTTTTGAGTGTGGCCTGGACCGGGACTTGGATGACGAGTGGGACTTGGGTGAGCGAGATCTCGTCCGAGACCGTTTTCTGTGCTTTTTCCTTTTCTTCTCCTTTTCTTCTTCTCGGGGAGGGTCTCTGCTTCTGCTTGAGGGTCTGTCAGGGGGTCTCCCTTCTGGAGGCGGGAGGGGTCTCCCTGGAGTTGGTGGTGCACAGGGTGCAGCACTGGCTTCCTGGGAACAGAGCAAACAACATCTGGTGTGAACAGGGACTTTGGGCTCTCATGCCCACCTCACCATGTGTCAAGAGGACAGCTACATTGCTCCCCTCCACTGAGTGGGTGCCGCTACAGTCTGCAGGGCCACATGTCTAAGCTACTACGTTAGTTACGATCTACATTGGCTCTTCTCTAAGAAGTAACTTCACCATTGTATTGAAAAAGAGAGCCTCAGACTGCCAGCCTCAGGGTTTCTATGGATCTCTGTACCGTCTGAAAGTGACTTCAGTAAGGGTTCTAGCTGAGGGGCAGTAGCATCCTGCAAAGTGTGCCCAGAACACACAGAGCCAGTTGTCAGCAGCCCTGCCCTTCCCTCAAGTCCACTTGGACAAGACCACCCTGAGGCCACGTGGCAGAAGCAGCACTGGCTCTTGAGACGTTCTGTTCTTGTTCCTGGCCCCTGTGGCAGATCCAGTGACAACCACAGGACCACCTGGACTGCTGCTCACCAGGCACACTGCACCCACACTCACAGCACCCACCAGTGGGAACAGACATGTAGGGCGAAGCAGACTGGGGTTCCCCAAGGATAAACATTTGCCGTGCTCTCAGGGAACACAGTCGGCAGTCACATCACTGCTGAACCTCCAGCCAAGTGGTGTTGGAGGGCTTTCAGTTCTTCTGTGGTGTGTGGCCCCCAGAAGGTGCACGCAGAACTCATTTCTGGGGCGCTGCCTAATATCTATGGGATAAGGCAAGCAGTTTGCTCAGGAGAGCCTGTTTCACAATGGGACAGTTCTTACTGTAAAAAACTGCTCTTTCTCACTTCAGATCCTTTCGAAGTCATGATAGCATGTGACGCTGAAAAATACTGATGTCAAAACAAAAATACTGTGGACTTTTGGCAAGATGGTGGACTAGGCAGACACACTATATGGACCCTCTACAACGAAAACAGAGTCCTGGTGTGGCACTGTGGTTTATGCACTGGATTGCAAGGTTGGTTTGAACCTCCAGGTCAGCAGTTCAAGCTCATCAGCCAATCCTTGGAAACTATATAGTTGGTTCCAAGCTATGGCTTGGAACCGACTCGACGGCAGTTAACAACAAAAAGGCCAAGAGACCAAATAAAACAGACACAGATGAAAATTCTGGAATCCTGAACTTGGAAGGCAAGGTTAGAAAAATGGACACAATGCTTGCTGGGAGGAGGAGAAGTTGAGCAGGGATTCTGAGACAGGCGGGCAGACTGTTGAACGGCCCATCAGTCGGAATGCGAAAATCATCCAGTAATATCATACTATCATATTCAAGTTACACTTTGCTAAAGATCATTAAAAAATGGCTGCCACCATACATTCACAGAGACCTTCCAGTGGATTCAGAAGAGGACATGGAATGAGGCATATCACTGCTGTTGTCAGTTGGATCTTGGCTGAAAGCAGAGATTACCAGAAAGATGTTCACCTTTGCTTTACTGACTACGCAAAAGCTTTAAACTGTCATGTGGATCATGACAAGCTATGGACAAGATTGTGAAGTGAGTATTCCAGAACACTTAATTGTGCTCATGAGGAATCTGTACATGGATCAAGAGGCAGTTGTTTGAATAGAGCGAGGGAACATTGAATGGTTTAAAATCAGGAAAGGTATACACTAGGGTTGTCTTCTTTCATCATAATTATTCATCCTGTATGCTGAGCAAATTATCTGAGAAGCTAATTATAAGAAGACCATGGCATCAGGAGAAGACATGTCATTAACAACCTGCAATATGCAGATGATACAACTTTGCTTGCTGAAAGCAAAGAGGATATAAAATACTTATTAATGAAGATCAAAGACCAGAGCCTTTGGTATGGGTTATACTTCAATGTAAAGAAAACAAAAATCCTCACCACTGGACCAATAAACAACATTCTTATCAATGGAGAAAAGATTGAAGTTGTCAAAATCTGCTGCACAAGGCTTCTTTCAAGTGTGGAAGAGCCAAGATGTCAGCTTGAGGATGCTGTTGCACCTGACCCAATTAACGTTATTTTCAATAACCTCGTATGCATGTGAAGATTGGACAGTGAATTAGTAAGACTGTATAAGAACTAATGCATTTGAGTTATGATGTTGGAGGAGAATACCAAAATATCTTGGACTATCAAAATAACAAACAAATCTGTGTTGGAAGTACAGCCACAATGCTCCTTGGAAGCCAGGTTGGAGACTTGTCTCTTAAGACTTCAGACATAGTATCAGGAAGAACTAGACCTTGGAGAAGTATATGTATCACCTTTGATAAAGTGGAGGGCTGGAGAAAAAGGAAGTGAGTGCCCCAGTGAGATGGATCAGCACAGGGAGCAGCAAGGGGCTTAAATGCAGCCAAGGACTGTGAGGGCGGTGCAGGACTGGGCAGTGTTTTGTTCTGTTGTGCACAGAGTCACTATGAGTTGGTACCAACTGGATGGCGCTAACAATAACAAATCCGCTATTGTTTTTCTGAAATTCTTTTCTTTTGTCTCTCATTTCACCTTTTTCCCTCTTCCTTTTTTGATCTTTATTTACTACTCTCTATTCTTTTTCTCTTTTCACCTTCCCTCTCCCTGGTTTTTCTAAGGGGTTAAAAAAAAAACAAAACAAAAGGTATTCTGCTTATTTTCTGTGTGTAGTCCTTTTTTCTGTCCCTCTTTTCTTTTCGAGTTACCCTGAAGTGTTGTTGTTTTTAATTTCTTACTTTTCTTTCTTTTCTCTGTAGGTGTCTTTCCCTTCCCTTCCTGCTTTATAGCTATTATAGTCTTTGTCTGCTTGCTGCCTATTTTTCTTTTTCATCTCTAGTATTTCCTCATTTCATTGTTGGTACCTTGTTGTATTCTCTTTTGTGTGTGTGAGGGGTTTCTTCTTTTTCATCCAATGGTGCCCATATATAGCCCAGTCACAACTGTACCCTCCACAGTTTCCCCACTGGGCAAGACTTAGTACCAGCCCTATACCATCTGACCAAAGACAGACAGCAGCCAACAGCAGCCAGACCCACCCTACACAGGTCTCCCAAAAGCAAAGTGTGTACACGTTTCCATTCTCTACCTACACCCACAGAAGAGAGTTGGGGAGACTCTAAGAACACACCACCAAGAATAATAAATGAAATACAAATAGGACAAACCCACAATTTGAGCTTACACAAAGAAACAAAGAAAGAATGGCTTAAATAAATGACCACAAGGCTGAGCCAGACAATGTTGCTGAGGAAAAGGTAATGGAATGAACTGAATAAGAATTTGACAGAATGATATTTAACTACCTTCACAGGATAGATAGAAAGATCGAGGAAATAGAAGAAACATTGGAAGAATTCACTAACACACTACAAGAACACACACACAAAATTAATGTAAGTTAAGAAACAATACACAGTCTGCAGTTAGAAATCCAGAAGATTAATGCTAAGATCTTAGAAATGGACAACACATTGAAAGGGCAAAGGAGAAGACAGATGTCAAGCCCGATTCCGTGAGCTTGAAGATAAATCTTGAAACACTAGCATGCTAGAATAAGTGTCAGAAAAAAGAATGAAAAATCCGAAGGAAGGCTACGAGTATGTGGGACACTATGAAGAGGAACACCTTACGGATTACTGGAATCCCAGAAGGTTGTTGTTGTTGTTGTTGTTGTGATGTGCCGTGGAGTCGGTTCCGACTCATAGCGACCCTGTACAGGGCTTCCAAGGCTGTAAATCTTTACGGGAGCAGAAAGCCTCATCTTTCTCCCGCGGAGCAGCTGGTAGTTTTGAACCGCTGACCTTGAGGTTCGCAGCCCGATTCGTAACCACTACGCTACCAGAGCTCCTTTAATAGGAAGAAATAATAAAAAGCACAGAGAAAATTGTTGAAGAATTGTTCAAAGAAAAGTTCCCTAATGTCACACAGGATGAGAAGATAAGCATTCAAGAAGCTGAACGAACCCCAACTGGATAGATTCCCAAAAGAAAAATCACCAAGACATATCCTAATCAAACATTCCAAAATGAAAGACAAGGAAAGAATCCTGAGAGGAGCTTGATACCTACCCAGGAGAACCTTTAAGACTAAGCTCTGAGTTTTCAGCAGAAACCATGCAGGCAAAACCGGCAATGGGATGACATATACAAAACTCGGAAAGAAAAATATTGCCAACTAAGAATCATATATCTAGCAAAACCGTGGCTCAAATATGATGGCGAAACTAGGAGGTTTCCCGATAAACAGAAATCAAAGGAATTTGTAATGACCGGAATGGTTGTATAAAAAATGCTAACGGGTGTTCTTTGGCTAGAGAACCAATAAGCAAACAACCTGAGATTACTATACATGACACCACCCCCCACAACTTGATTCTGATGTAGAAGCATTAAAAGTAAAACAAACCTACCAGACTGAAAATAGGAACCCAGAGGTATCAATTTATGAGGAAGTCAACTACAAAGAAAGCTAAAGGAAAAGTGTAGATACAGAACTTCCAAAAGGCAAGGAAGTCAAGTAGATTTCAAGGTAGAACAGACTGTTTTAAAAAGGCAAAAAAAGAGATGAAAATCACAGGGTAACCTAAAAAACTGAAGGAAATGAATAGAAACCCCACACACAAAATGAACTCAGTGGATAAAATCATGTGGAACAAAGAAACCAACATCATCATAAAACCAACCAACCTGAAAACTGACAGCCATCAATTTATACCTACTGATGTAAACTGATTACATGCACCAGTCCAGACACAGAGAGAGAGAGCAGAATAGGTACGAAAACAGGATCCTTTAATATGCTGTGGGAGCCAGTTAAATACCTTTCAACAGAAGAAAGGTTAGACAAACTTTGGTACATACACACAATGGAATACTATGCAATGCTGAAGAATAACAACGTACTCTTCAACATGAGTGAACCTGGAGGACATTATGCGGAGTGCAATCTGACAATCACAACAGGACAAATATTGTAGAAACTAGTGTTTTAAAAAGTTAAGGAAAGGTTTTCTGGATAAAAGAAACAA